TGATCCACCACTTTATGTCTTGTACTATATTAGACACCCATGATGCGCAAACGTAATAGAAATTTTAAGGACATCTAGCATCAAACAAGATTAATCCCAATTCCCATGGAATACTAAGGGTTCCCTACCCCCAAGTCAAACTACTACAAGTGACGATTTCGACGAACGCGACGCGACCAAATTGAAACGAAACGACGCGAATTGTAGAGGGTGTCTTCATCATCTTCAAGGTGGATCATCGTCAGTATCGCTGACGTCTGCATGAGCGCCAGCCTGCACTCTCTTGGGAAGTCCGCATCATGTGGTAGTACATAAAACAATCAAGAAAATATTAGTAAAATTCTTTACACCATTTTTCTTCAGTCGGGTAAGTTAATATTCAAGAAAACATTTATGATAAATCTTTATAGCATCTTTTCCATAGTTGGATAAATTTTCAAAGTATAACATTATTATTCATTTATTTATTTCTTAACCTTACAGGGAATCGAACCCGTTTCCTTTTTTATAATAAGGGAATTTTCTTTATGGACCTATATTATCCTATTATACATTATTAACTACATATATTCTATCCTAATGTTGAATTAATCCTATCAATGATCATATTCAAAGTCAATTGAATAATTACAAGTTGAACAGAGAATGAATGAATGAATGAATGAATACTCTTTATTGCACTATTACAAAAAAAAACAATAAACATAAAACAGGAACGCAAACACAAAAGGCGGCCTTATTGCTAAGGTAGCAATCTCTACCAGGCAACCTTTGGCTAAATGAAACGATACCATAAGAATAGTAGAAACAGCGGGCTGTGCATTGTAAAAATAAATTAATAAACGTAAATATAGGAAAATAAAATATAGAAAGTATATGGAAGCTATAAAATACAATACAAAGTAATGAACATATAAAAAGATCAGTCAGAGTCCAGCTTGAGAAAATAATCCTTGATTTTAATAGCAAAGGAGTCCCTCGTCCGTGCACGTTTAATATCTAAAGGTAAAGAGTTCCACAATTTAACGGCTCTTACATAAAATGACTTGGCTACGAAGTCAGTGGAGTGGGGTGGGATAACTAAGGATAGGTTATGAGAAGACCGAAGGTCACGAACAGGATTAAATGAGTGAAAAGTGAAACGCTCCTTAAGATAGAGAGGAGTGTGTGGATGAAAGAGGATAGAATAAAGGAGTGATAGGATGTGACAGTCTCTTCTACGAGAAATGGGTAGCCATTGAAGTTGGGAACGATAATGAGAGATATGGTCGTACTTACGCAGACTGAAAATGAATCTAATACATAAATTCTGCAGACGCTCGAGTTTATTAAGAAGAACAACACTAAGGTCAGGGTAACACGCATCGGCATAGTCAAGCAACGGGAGAAGAAGGGACTGTGCAAGAGAAATTTTAGTCTTGGTCGGCAACAGGTTTTTCAGGCGCTTCAGTGAGCCATACGCACCAAAAACTCTCCTACTAACTTCACCAACATGGTGACTCCAAGACAAGTTACTGTCAAACAACACACCAAGATTTTTTACAGTGTCCTGAAGTGGTATGTGGATGCCGTTCAACAAAATCGGTGGCAGTGCGCTTTTGTCGATTCTAGCATTATACCAATGGCTTCCGATAATTATAGCTTGCGTTTTGCGCGGGTTAACCAACAGACCATGCCGCCGACTCCAGTCAGATATGAGTTCCAGATCGTTGTTTGTAACTGTGATGGCTGTAGGTAATTCCTCTATAGAAGTTTGAGTATATATTTGGAGATCGTCTGCATACATATGATAGGAAGAAGAGAGAGGAAGAGTTATTGAATTTATGAAAATAGAGAAAAGGAGAGGAGACAAAACGCCACCCTGCGGAACGCCGGCTGTTGAATCACACCATGATGAAAAATATCCATCCACGCATATGCGCTGCCGCCGTCCATGCAGGTAACTATGAAACCAATCAATTACTGGTGGAGATACATTGAGAGAAACCAAAATAGCCGATAAGATATCAAAATCAACCATATTAAATGCGTTACTAAAATCTAACAGCGTCAATACAGTGAGCTGCCGATTTTCCATACCCATACGTATATCATCTGCGATTTTGACAAGTGCAGTAGTCGTACTATGACCGGGACGGAAACCGGATTGAAGTGGATTTAGAAGATTGTTCATGGAAAGGAATCTACTTAACTGTTGATGGACAAATTTTTCGAGGACTTTGGAAAGGAAAGGCAATATTGAAATAGGACGATAATCAGAAAAGGACTCAGGTTTGGATTTCTTAGGTAAAGGAATAATATTAGCTTCTTTCCATGCAGAAGGATAAACAGATGACGATATGGATTTATTAAGGATTTTCGTAATTACAGGAGTGAGGATATCTAGTAGAGGAATGATCATATTACGACTAATGCAATCGCTACCGATGGCATTGGACGACGACGAGAATCGTACCTGTCACCTATCAGTCTTATGGTTATTACAATATCAATAATCCACCTACTCAACAAATTACACTAAACTAACTAACTAACAATTAAAAGAAATGAAAATACTTTAATGAAACTAACTATTAATCTGTCATAAACAAAATGTGTAAAAGTTCCTTATAATATGTATATTGAAAAAAAAATCTAATAAAATGACAAAGTTATATTTAATATGCTTTTGAAATAAAATTCTAAAATGACTATTGTATTGAACCTTATTTACATACCACCATTGCTTTAAAACATTCATATAAACAATAAACTGAAATAAAATCTCATTAGTAACACAATATTATAATACTATCAACCTATTCGGCATAATATAAACTTTCATCATACACCGAATTATCACTATCACTTTCGTTATTCATTTTTATATATTGTCTTTTAAACTTGCACTTAATATGTTTGATTAATAATTGTTCGTTACAAAAATCTATTATCGCATTATTTCGAAGAAAGAAATCCTGTCCTAAGATGAGGTTATGCCTAATATTCTCTACCACAAGAAAATCGTGAATGTATTTAACTTAATTTTATTTATTTATTTAATTTAATGTTATAACGCATTGTCTATCAATAATTTTAGGTTGACTTTCCCTATAACAGACAATTCTTTACCATCGACGGCTTTCAACTTCGTATCGCTTTCATCAATTCGTTGATGAATTCTATTAACTGTGTCCTTCGACACCACAGACACTACAGCACCACTATCAATGAGCCCTACAAAGTTCTTATCACGACACGTTATATTAATTAAAGGTTTGGACTCACTTGTAGGCTGATTGTTGTTTTCTGACGACTGTGACTTGTGAATTTCTTTATTAGCCATCGTCATTGAATCTTTTTCATAAAAAAATTTTCTTCTTTGATTTTTGTTTCTTTTTGTTCATGTTGCTAGAACAAAAAGTGCGGGGAATCATATGTTCGGGAGGGACAATGGGATGAGAAGGGACACTTTGGGAGGAAATAACGTTGATTTCCTTCGACGTTTCACAATGAGCAAACGATGGTTGGATCGGCAGATTCCAACTAATTTCGACGCTTTCGTCCCCAAAAATATCCTGCGCTTGTCGTAAAACATTTTTTAAGTGGTTTTTATCACTATATAACTGAAATGCGAAAAGATTTTTTGTATTTAAATTCGCATTTTTCAAGAACTGTCTAATGAAGCATTTGTCATCGATGACAGCTCCCGCTTTTGTGGCCAGCTCATCCAATAAGTACATAAAAATAGTTCAATGGCTCTTCTGACAAGCCTTGTCTTCGTGAGAAAAATTTTTCCAACTTCCGAATTAGAAAGGACGAGACATCAACATAAATGTAAGCACATTACACTTTCGCTTTGCCGATGATGTAGTAGGTACTTACTTATAGCTGAGAGTTGGAAGACCTAAACAAGATGGACATGCATAAGACGAAGATCATGACAACACCCATGTTTTATTTGCTCTTATTCACTAGAAGCCGTCCACTATTTCGTTTACCTGTGCGTGACAGATAGTCCAGTGAGATAAGAACAAATTTGAGAAAGAGATGTCTCGTCGTATCTAGCTCGGATAGAACGCGTTTGCGGAGCTACGGAAAATCTTCACGTCCAGATTACCAGAGTGTGTTTCTACTTTGCCAGCTATGATCTCATAAGTATGCTCAAGGAGCATATACACGATTTTTCTTGTTAAAGGTAAATCATATTATTAATCAGATATTAAATAAAAATGAATAGCTGAAATGTATTTACGCAGCTGACTTTCGGGAGACTGCATCAAATTATGCACTGGCGCCCCGCCCGGTTTTGCAGGGGTGCATTATATTCGTGAGAAATTGAGTTACGTTGTGATTTTTATACAAAAACAATATATAATACCGATTTCGAAAATATATGGTGGTTTCTCGTTGTAATAAAACTTTCATACAACCCAAAAACTCACTTTCGCATTTATTAAATAAATAGTGGGTACCCGCGACTATAAATTCCCATACACCCCTCACACAATTCCACCCCATTTTCACTTCCTTAAAGGTTGATTTCCGGAATAAAAACCAACTTATGCCCTTTTCCGGGACTCAAACTAGCTCTATACCAAATTTCATCTGAATTTCAGCGGTTTAAGCGTGAAGAGGTAACAGATAGAAAGACAGACACACTCACTCATTTATAACATTAGTATGTATAATTTAATAATGATTTCAAACTAGCGGGTGCCCGCGACTTAATCTGCGCTGTTTAATTGGTCTCTCGTAAAAACTTTCACCATCCCTTTCATCCACTTAAAAATGATTTCAGGGATAAAATCTTTCCCTTGTCGCTTCCCGAGACTCAATTTATCCCTGTACTAAATTTCATCGTAATCGGTTCAGCGGTTTAGGCCTGAAGTTGAAGAGGTATAAACCGCTGTACCGATTTGATATAAATTTGGTATAAAGATAGTTTGAGTCATGGTTTTTATTCTAGAAATCATCCTTAATTGGGGTGCCGGGTTCTTATTAATGCATTTTTTTCACAGGTGTGGTATGTCAGCATTATCGGTGGTTAGTACTGATAATAATGTAATGGCGGGATTATATTCAAAAAAAATTTTATCATTTGATTTACGTGCAGGTGCAAATCCAGTGAATGCTTATAAACCACATAAAGGTCCAGTACTTGCTCTCCACACTTATAACAATATGGTTGCATCTGTAAGTGAGGATAAAACATTAGCTGTGTATGATAAAGTTGCAGGAAAAGTTATCGCAAATGATATAAAAATACCAACAGAAAAAGCATATCCAGTTTGCATTAGCTGGACACCAACTGCCTTATATATTGGAGATTCAAAGGGCTCTTTACACCTGATGCATCCTGAACATCATATTCATGTTAAATCACATGAAATTTGGCCTGAACCACCAATTATTAAACCTTCCAGCAAAATAACAAGTTGTTGTCAAAGTCAAGGAAATATGATTGTTTGCTCGGATAGAGGGGAGATCAAGTTTTTCTATAATTGCTATCCACCTCAAGAATATACCAGCATGAAAACCAGCACTTTTGATGTAACACAGGTAATATTTCCACCTTTTTTCATTGCTTTTGCTTATGCCCATCTGTACTTATACAACTCCTATTATTGCCTAGATAAGTAATAAGATGGGATTATTTGAAATTCAGCCTCATAAAAGCGTGAAATTTGCAAAATTGAATTCGATCTATTTATATAGATATGCCAAATGTGTACTGATTTTCAGTTCTCGTTACATCCGTTGCGGCACTGCTGTTCAAGTTTCCATACAAAATTTGACAATGACATTTCGCACCCGCAATCGTAACGATTATGGCTCGTGCACAGAGGCCCAAGCACGAGTTTTTTGACAGCTCCGTTACGTATCGCATCGTCAAAGGTCCTATGAAAATAAACAGCGCCTATCGGACGTAAGAACAAACTAGCTTTTATCCTCAGAATACATTCTGTATACTGAGCTTTAATCATACAAAATGTTACAATAACGATTCTTTACGGAGCTGTCAAAAATTCGTGCTTGAGAGAGGATACTGAACTTCTAACACGTACTTATAAGATAACAATGACTTTTAAAATTGACAAGTTTTTTTTATATAAATGATATGTCCAAACCTTTAATTTAGATGTGTCATCACTGTGTTTTTCTAAATAGTGGAGTTGTAAAACTCTATTTCAGTGTTAAAAAGAGAGACAAGGTAAATTTTCGACAATGCTACCTATTTTTATTAGTACTCCTCCTTTAGTACGTCAATGCTGGCAGCATTCTTTCAGAGTTAACACAATACTAAATTGCAAATAATCCACTAACTAATATTATGAGTGCGAACTGTTTGTTTGTGTATTTGTTACTCTTTACAATGTGATTTTGAATATTTTATTTACAGATGCGATACCAGAACGGCGTGATGGTAATAGGAACGTGTGATTCTGCACTTGAATTTTGGGTTCCCAACGAGAAATATTCTGAAGTATAATTATGGAAAGAAAAATATTAAGTAGACTAAAAATAATAACTTATTTTTCGCTTTCGCCAATTAACCAATACAATGGCGTCGATTCTGGCATTATTATCTCAGTCTTAACTTAAATTTGACAACAGTGTTTCCTTGTCATCTCTATACAGAATGAACAGGAGGGGCTGATGTTAAAGTTTTAAGTTTTGTTAAGGAATAATGCCAAAATCGACACTAACGATATTATTATCTGACAAGTACATTATGACTGCATAATATTTTTGTAACCTTTAACCGCATATTATATGTAGAACAAAAGGTAACTTTTGTTCTGTAATCTGAGCCCTTAATTAACTGATTTTTATTGTATTTCAATTTTAATATTTTCACATAATTTAAATCCTATTCCAATGCAATGAATTAAGTACACGATTTATGTTTGGTTGAATGTAAATATTTTTATGTAGATATTATTATTTGCTAAAAGAATGTAAATATGACGTATATTGATACCAATTTTGTAACGAATGCCCTAATTAAAAGGAAGACTGGATAGTAAGATAACGAACAACACAATACATTAATTCATTTATTTCGCATTAGTTATATTATACACAAGGGCGTCACCACCTTCTGACGGCGGCTGCTGACCCCCTAGAGACAGACATAAAAAATGAAGCTAAAAATAAATGTAAATTGTAAGCAACCGAAATCCTTAGTCCACTCATTTGACTTGCTTGCCTGACCAAACATTTATGTTTCTTGCACACCGAAACTCGAATGAATTCACTAGGTGATTACAATGTCAACTGAGTTAAGAGCACTATAAATGTGCAGCTATATGTATTTTTATTGCCTTCGAAGGCAGACGAGCGTACCGGCCATTTTCCCCCACGACACTGGCTAACTAGAGCCGAGGTCCGAGTCTCAGAGACGCCCTCTGGTTGAGCCGACCCCCTCAGTTCGAGTGGTCTGGAGGCTCCAGACCTCCAGAGGCACTCGCCAATTCTCGGCTTGAGGTTACTCTCCTTAGGATCTCGCCATCACACCCGGTGACGCTGTAAAGGTCATCTGCGACCAACAGCATATACACTCAAAAAAAAAAGGCCGTCTTATATTAAGTAGCTCATGGACATCAGCAATGCCTCCGTCTGTGAGGCCCTTTTCGTGGAACACTGGAATTCAAGCCGCTCATGAAGAGGACCATGTTATAACATGGTAATATAAATATTACTGACTAAGGTAACACCATGGAGAGGAGCCCATTAATTTTATTGTCCGTGGAATAAAAGAACTCTGGAAACGAACAGTTGTGAACTATAGCGTTTCCAGGTAATATGGATGAACTCGACTCCGGTGATGGGTGGTGCGGTGGTAAAATGGTGCTGTGGGTACCGGAACTATTCCTCGGGGTACCCATTATAGAGCCTGTAGAATACGCATAGACAACCAAGTCTCGAAACATTTCTAAAGGCTCCAGCATATTTTCCGATAGCTTAGGATCACCGAACGCGTCTTTCTACAGACTCGAAGAGACCCATCTGGTATATGGGAGCTCCAGCCCAGAGATGTGAACAGTACACCATGTAGCTAGTAATTTGCGCTTTGCAAAGCAAAAGCTTTTGCTTAGACGTGAAGTACTGCTTGGATCTTGAGAACTCCAAGCTTTAAGAGGTCAGTTTGACCTTGCCCTCTAAATGGTTTCTATACTGGACGTCACACGAGATATCAACACGTACAGCGGGACGCCTTGGAATTTTGACGTGACAGAAAATAAGACCTTGTTTGCAGTGAATGCGCAAACTTGTCTTGCTAGGGTTGAACAAGACTAGGCTCTGACTTCTCCATTTAGAAACTTTCTCAAGAGAACCCTCTACGACGGACACAAACTTAGTTCACCATTCCAAAACTTCAGCTCTAGAGATGTTTGGGTGGCCGGTATACCGCGCGTTACACGTGCTGTCATCTGCATAGCAATGCACGCCGGGAACAGCATGTTATCTATATGCAGGATGAGCAGCGTCGGGAAGAGTACCTAACCTTGTGGAAGTCCAGCGTTTATAGTCATAGGTTTGGCGCAGCAGCCATCTATAACGACTTTAATGCTCCTGCTGTCCAAGAAGCTGGATATCCACTTGCAAAGCCCCTAACGTAGCCACAATTGTAACATGTATCCACAATTCATACTTTTAGTCCCTCGATCAATAAACTTGCCCCACCCTCCACCCTCTTAGGCCGTCAGCTGGCGACGCCCTTGATATGTAAAGTTTTGATATAAAAACTTTACAGATAGATCACATAATGCCTAATTTTATGCATTAAAAAATCATATTCAAATGACACAAATTTTATGACGGAGGTGTGTACGACGTACACGTCAGAACTGCATATTGGTAAAGCAATGATGCATAACCTATATACTTACTGATTAGTCAAGTTCATATTTCTGCATACTCGTCAAATTCCACACCTACGCTCCGGGTGCAACTTTTCACTCTGACTTATTATTATAAAGTTTGACTTTCGTACCATTTGGTTATTGAATTCTGGACATGATATGTGAGACTGATGTTAAATTTGACATCAGTTGTACCCGGAGTGTAGTGTATATCCATACCGGATATTGAACACAACCCTGTTTATTTTATTGTGTTAAATCCTTATAATAAAACAACCAAAATAAAAGTGACTATGCTATTATTTTTATGTAATTTATATGTAATGTAGTGCCACCAATGACCGACAAGAATCAATGACCGATATTTTTCCTGTGACCAACGAAAAGAACAAAAAGAAAGGTAACCAACTACTCTATTTTTATTGTTCACAGAAAAAAAGAGTTGATCATTGGTTCTTGTCAGTAATTGCTGCCACCTCCTTACCGGTTGATCAATATTTGTGGGTCAGCAGACCACATGCTTTTAGGTTAAGTTTTACAAAAATTGTGAAATTTAAGCCTCCAACAATATACCTGCAGTCAACACAGTGATGTAGGCATCTCTATTTCAAACGTATTAAGCACTGTTTACATGTGCGCCGACGACAGGATTGCATTGGGGGGGGGGGGGATATATATGTATATATATACATGAATGCGAAAATGAGTGTCTGTTCTTTAATCAGTCTGTTACAGTTTGTCTATAAAGTCGTGACATTAAATGATGGCGCCACTAGTATGCATGTAGCAACCCTGTACAGTCTGACCAAAATGATTTTGATACTAGCAGTTTATTCAAGTAAAATAGGTAATTCATAAGACACACTATACAGTCGTATTTTGTTTCTGTTTTATAAATAGTAGGTACCTATGCTTATAAAAAGTTTAGCCAAGCATATTTAATTGAATCAGAATAAAATTATTATAGATAAAATAGTACTTTATAGTGTAAAAGTGTGTAATGTTGGTGATTACCGCTGAGGTGCCGTTGAGACCAGAGCCGTTAGATAATCATCAATACACACAAGTATCATCATACGACGTTTTTAACACACTTGTTAAGAAAATAATACTAAAAATCATTTTATAGTATATAAAAAGTTTATTTAGAGAAACAATTTGTAAATGTGCAGTTAGTAAAATTAGTGATAAAAGCTTCTTTATGTGACCATTTCTTTCTTTGGTCGGCCTTGCCTGTTTTCCCAGGAGTTTCAAACTTTCCATCATTCTTAAAACCTTCGTTGACTATCCGACTCTCTGATTTTCCTGAAAAAAGGTAAAAAAATATGTAACGGAATAGAAACAATAACTTATTGACATGAAGCAATTAATTCAAAATTGGTAGAAAACCTGACCGAGTTAAACCATAATAACGTATCAAAAGAAATGGTCGTACTACAATCCTATACCTATTTACAATGTCAATGTAACCTAAAAATGTGCAATGTAAACAATGCCTCTTTTGGTCTCAAAATCGTAAATTGAGTAAATTTGTAACTTCAGGCAGATTACAAACAAATAGTTACACGATTACATACTCGTCATAGAAGCTGTTCGCCCATAAACATCATCCAAATCCCACAAAATTTGTCCAGCTTTGTAGTCTTCGAAACATCGCTGGAAAACTTTAAAAATCACTTCCCGCGTGCCACTCCGATTTACTTTACTCATTTTAATACCTTTCTGCGTAGTTTCGTCTTAATTTATTACAGTTTAATCCAAACAATAAAAAATACAAAAGGAAAACTGTTCCACAACTGAAACTCGATGACAGCTGATGTACATAAGTTTGGTGTTGCCAGACACATGAATAATGTTAGTTCCTCAAACATTCATGTCACGACTTTATAGACAAACTATACCTCTATACAATTAAAACCGCTAAACCGATTTAGATGAAATTTGGTTTAGACGTAGTTTCAGTCCTGAAAAAGGACATAGAATTAGTCGTCTTTAAACAGTGGCGGATTTACAAATTTGCCGCTAATAGGCTATTAAATTTTTGCCTCCCTTACTGACCTTTGAAATTCAATACGCTAGTTCACAATTATATTTATTCTGAAATTGCAACTTTATGATTTGTGTTCTATCGTCCACATTACGTCGGCTTTTCCCCGTTAGTTTAAAAAAAATACTAAATTTAAATTGTAATTAATGTTGAAACGCTAATGGAATATTTTAAAAATTCATGATCGCATAAGTACATACCTATATTTTACAGTGCGTTTAGTAATCTTTTATATATTACGGACGTAAGAGTGTTGAGTATACTGTGCATTACTAAAATATTAAAATTTTTGTCACTCGTTTTTCTGTGTAGATTTTGGGCCAAATTTGCCGCCCCCTTAAATCTGCCGCCCTAGGCTCCAGCCTACTGAGCCTACTGGTAAATCCGCCACTGTCTTTAAATAGAAGTCATACTTAATGCGGTGAAAAGAGGGCGCAAGTGAAGCAGATGATGACGTTTGGAGATTCTTTTATCCCGGAAAAATTTAAGGTTTCAGTAGGATTCTCAAAAAACTAAAGTAAAGGTAAATATTTTGCTCATCAGAAACATTCGTATAGTGCGTACTATAAGCATTCT